TTCTACAAAATGGATACTCCAAAGCATGGACTGTGTTTGCAAAGGTTAAATTATTACTGGTACTAAAAAGCAAAATATACAAATATAAGTAATTGACAAAGTAAACTGTGATGTCATCAAGGAGATGTACCATCTCTGATTCAGTGAATTTCTGGCACTGTTAGCATCATAGGTGGAAGCAGGCCCTTTGAATCCTAGACCCATAACTAGCCATGGGCAAGTGATCTGACCTCTCTGATCCTCCATTTCTAAATGTTTAACCTGGAGACCACCACCAGTTTCACTAGGTTACTGAAAGGAATTAATAGGGCCATTTATATAATAAGCTCTTAACCCAACACCCGACATAAGTAAGTACTGGCCAGCTTGCTGCATTGCCTATGTTAGTCAAGGGAAAAGTATAGAGCAATCACACCTAAAGGAGTTAAGAAATATGCATACTAATCTTTAAAAGTTTATCCAAATAGTGAAATGATAATACCACAAAATAAAACAAAATTTACAAAGATCACATGAAAAAGTTCTCCACAATCTAGTATATTTCACCAAATTTTTTTAAAGTCTAAGTTCTATACTGACTTGAGTAGAAAATGTCTAAGATTTCATTCACAAAACATTTATTACTTTATTACTTCATATCCCAGTATTTGTAAAACAGAATAAATGTTTTAGTAAGAATTAACTAATGGTTTAATAAGAATTAAGAATGTTCATGAGCATTTTTTATAAAAGTAAAAGATTGGAAACAGACTAAGTGTCCACCAAAATGGAAATACATGAAAAAAATCTTGCAGCTATAAAAAGAACAAGAGGAGTTTATATATACTAATATGGAATGATACAAGACATGGTGTTAAACTTAAAAAAATACAAAATACTTAAGACTCTATATTAATACAACCAAAGAAAAAAAAGTATGTCACATGCATACATATTTACATATTTAAATTCATACACAAAGGATCAAAAGTATGCAACCAATGGTGACCTCTTGGTTTCATTCTTCATAAATCTGTTATTTTACTATATCAGTGAGATCATACTTACACATTACTTATGTAATTTATGAACCTCAAGGAAAGTTAAAAATAAGTTTTAGAAAGCACTGTATACTTTACAAAAGGATTTTACAATTCTTTAAATAAATCCTTTAAAATCCTTTAATAAATAGGGGTGTCTGTTAAGTATCTGACTCTCAATTTCCACTCAGATCTTTATCTCAGGATCTTGAGGTCAAGCCCCATGTTGGGCCCCATGTTGTGTTCCACACCTAGTATGGAACCTACTTAAAAAAAAAAAAATCCTTTAACATAGTATCTAACTTGATCTTCTTTAGCTTTTATATTTAAAGTGAGAACAGACTCAGGTATTTATTAATCCTCGGTTAATAAACGCAGAGTCAAATAGAAACCCCCTTACCCTAAATTCAGTGTTCTGGTCTTCACACTATTAGTATATCCAGAAACTGAACATGCAGTCATCTACAAGACTCTCTAAATCTCCATACTGCTTCTACTCATATGAGAGTCTGGAATGTGGAGGAAAAGGCATTCTGGTAGGAGTCCAGGATTAGGGTCCAGTCTCAACTACATCATTACTAAGACTTCATGGTAAATCAAACTCTACAACAATGATTCTCTAGGGGACTGCACATCAGGTTCAACAGTAATGTTTTTAAATAATTCTAATACTCAAGCCTGATCTCCAGATATTAGAACTTAATCTGGGTCATTAGTAGGTTTATTATAAGCTTCCCAGGTTATTTTAAGGTAGGGCTTAGTTAAGACCACAGATATCCTTATCTGATAAAAACTAAAAATAAAAGATATTAAAAACCACTTATGCTATATATATATATACTTTGCAAAGCTGAAACAAGGGATGCATGTTATATGGGAAAGTCCCCTATAAACAATAAAACACCTCACAAATGTAAAGGAATTATTATTCATTCATTCAAAGATGTACCATGTCTTCCATGTGCCAGGCCAGAGAGAGAAGGCATCACCTTCCAGAAGCTCGAGAACTGCCATGCCCTCAATAATTGCTGAGCCATGGAAAAAGGCACAGCAGAGGCACAAAGGTGGTGGTGACCAGTCCAGCCTTAGGGTCCAGCCTTAGGTGATGGTGGGAAGAGGGCTTAGAATGGCCCTCAGAGAGGTGCCTAGGCAACTCAGTCAAGTGTCTGACTCTTGATTTTGACTCAGGTCATGATCTCAGGGTTGTGAGATCAAGCCCATTGTGGGGCTCCACACTCAGCATGGAGTCTGCTTGAGATTCTCTCTCCTGCTCCCTCTGCCGTTCCCCCCACCACTGGCATATGCAAACAATCTCTTTCAAATGATAAATAAAACTTTTTTTTTTAAGATTTTATTTATTTATTCATGAGAGACACAGAGAGAAAGCGAGGCAGAGACACAGGCAGAGGGAGAAGCAGGTTCCTCACAGGGAGCCCGATGTGGGACTTGACCCCAGGTCTCCAGGGTCAGGCCCTGGGCTGAAGGCAGCACTAAACTGCTGAGCCACCTGGGCTGCCCAATAAATAAACCTTTGAAGAAAAAAAAGGCCTGCAAAGAGGAGACCCTCAGCTAGATCCTGGTATTCTGAACAGAGGGCACACCACCAGCAGGCTAGTAGTTCAAGATGGCCAGAGGTCCCTCAAAGGATGGTCTCAGGATCCTAAGGGTCCTTAAGACCCTTTCCGAGGGTCTGTGAGGTTAAAATTGTTTTAATATGGGGCTCCTGGGTGGCTCAGTGGTTAAGCATCTGCCTTTGGCTTATGACCTGGTCCTGGGATTGAGTCTCACTCACATCAGACTCCTCACAGGGAACCTGCTCTCCCTCTGCCTATGTCTCTGCTTCTCTCTCTCTCTCTCTCTGTGTCTCTCATGAATAAATAAAATCTTTTAAAAAAACTTTTAATATTAAATATTAACTGTTTTAATATTAAATATTAACTGTTTTAATATTAGCACACATCACCACCAAAACTTAGGAATAAACCAAATGTTCTCCAACTGGTAAATGGACACACTACAGTACATTCATACACTGGAATAAGACTGAACAATAAAAAAATTAAAAAATAAATTATTGATACACACAACAGCATGGATGAATTTCAAATGCACTATATTAAATGAAAGCCAAATTCAAAAGGCTACGACCATACAATTCCATTTACATGACATTTGGAAAAAAGCACAACTATAGGACAGAAAAAAGGTCAGAGGGTGCTAAGGCTAAGGGCAGGGGAACATTTTGGGGTGATGGAAATGTTCTATATCTTCACTGTGGTTACACAACCACATGCATTTGTCAAAACCCAGAGAACTGTACACTAAAATAGGGTGGATTGCACTGTATAGAAGTTACACTTCAATAATTTTAACTTGTAAAAATAATAGTATGCTATTTGCCTTTTTCCTTCTCTTTCTCTCCTAAATGTACAGTGTTTGCCAGAAGCCGCATGACTAATGGTGTCATCACTCTCCAGCTACGAGAATGCAAGCTTGTATATTCTTAATGTTCTAAATTTTTCTCCACTTCAACACAGTGATGGATATAATCAACATAAACACAAAAGCTCTCTTGGGGCTTCAACAATTTTAAATTAGTTTCTGAGACCCAAAAGTTTGACAACCACTGCTATAGGTGGTAGGGAGGCCCAGAAGAATTCTAAGCAGAGGGTCAGGGTATCTAAACCCCCAGGAAGAGTCGTGCAGGGAGATGAGTAAAGAGACACTACCTGGGCGCCTGGGGGGGCTCAGTCAATTAAGCTGCCAACTCTTGTTTTCGGTTCAGGTGCTAATCTCAGGGCTTTGAGATGGAGCCCCACATCGGGCTCCCTGCTCCGTGTGGCACCTGCTTAAAAGACCCTCTCCCTCTCATTCTACCCCACTCCCTCAAATAAATAAAAATAAATTTTGGAAAAAAAAAAAAGAGTTACTACAGAGGTCTGACTAAGGCTGATCCCAGGAAGGAACAGAAAGAAACTATGTCCACACACCATCTGCAGCTTGTTACAAGCCCAAGCCAGTGTCTCTCTACTGAGCTCTCTATGTTGGTGTGTTAATGTTTTGCAAATGAATTTCTGTCAGCTAGTAATAAAGTCAGGAGATGAAACCTGCTAAAAGAGCCATTCTACAATGCATTACTAATAAGTGATTTGGGGATTACTCACTCTTCAAACGATGCCAATAATTTAAAACTGAGTTTTATAGATTTTAAACTTGAAAAATAACCATCCTGAGGAGGTACAAAAAGCTAATATGGAGGGGAACTTCAATACCTCAAAATCAATTAGGAAAACTAGATAACTGATTAAAAACCAACTTATCACTTCTCTGAAATATGCTTTCATTTGTATCCAGAAACACTATGACAATCCCAACTCAGCACAATGCTCTATGTGTAAATGTGAGTTTTACTTGGTGTGAGGGGGGAGATGTTTATCTTTGGTCTACACAGTCCCCTTTCCTCCTGGGGGAAATTCATTCTGGCCCTATACATTCCAAATTACTTCAAGTACAGAGCTTTTTCTATAATCTTCTTATGCCCACAACTATTAGAGTACTTTGGGATGCCACAGAGGTAAATAAATTAATGTGAAAACCATCTACGTCTTTAAACTTTGAATACATGGAAATCAGATGATAGATCAATCAATCAGTCATGGGAAGGAAGTGGTAGGTATTAGAAGGAAGATTTCCTCTGCCTAAAAAAAGAAAAAACTTAAATACAATTTTATAAGCCATTTTAAATGAGTATGTGTACGTGTAACTACCATCACATACTGCTTCTCTAAGGGTTTTAAGTAGCCAACCCCTGTGACATGTCTGTAATCCCAAAGAGGTAGAAACCTGTCTAGAGATGTCAATTTGCTATCTTTTAGAAAGTTCACCTATACTTCCGTTCATGGGAAAGGAGGTAGGGGGCATGCCGGCCTTCTGCCAAAGGAGCCGTGTATGATTAAAGATAAAGTAAAATTAGATCCTTACCTGAAAGTACAGTCCTTTCGATCTACTTCTTATACAGAAATCTTGGATATTAGTTTACTGCCATTCACATTTGAAACTGAACCTATGGACTGAAAGGGAGGAAATAATTAATTTGAAATACATGCACAATGAAGATAAAAACATCGATTCGATCAAAGATGAAATTTCCGTACACTTGTTGAAGCCAAATGGTTTCTGCAGGAAACCTGTTTTCTGTGACTCAAATCCAAAATGGAAAACGTGGGTGGTTCTTCCTGTCTCACCATTAAGAGTCAGCCAATTGGCTGATGAAGTTTTCACACAACTTAAGCTCAAACTTCAGCCTTCCATCTGCTCTAATACTGTCATACCTTAGGGAAATGAAAGAAAAATAAAGGCTTTCTTCAGCCTCAAAGTCAGGCTTTAACAGGTTCCTTATTCCATCTAGACTCTATTTGAGTACAAAACTTCAAATCTTCAAAACTTCAAATCCAGATGTGAAAAATAATGAGAGCTGCATCACAAAGTAATTCAGGGGCTTTACAGCTGTCTCTGACTGGAGCTACTATTTCTAAAAAAATTACAAACTAATCTCTCCTGGATACAAGACTACAATTGCAGTGTGACTGTGGAGCAGAGGCTTCCAGCCCAGTCCATGTAACCAAAGTTGCACTCCTTCCCACCCACAAGTCACATACCATTTGCCAAGACCTGCCTGCCAACAGATACTGTATTTGGGCTTCTCAACATACAAGTCTGCCAGACTGGGATACGAATCCAGTAATTCTACAGGGTATTTCTGCATATCCACCTAGAGCTAGTCAACCAGCCAGTGTGATAGAGACAACTGAAAACACACACACTGTGGGACACCTTCAAGGAGAAAGAGACCGTGGGTAGGAGATACTAGCATGGTATATCATGTACACCCTTCAGCCAAAGGCCTCCTCACCTTTACACCAGTAATCAGTGGAAAATATGCAAATATAAGACCATAACAATTTAGATGGCTACTTCCAACATTAATACAAGGACTCCAAGTGGCAAACCACTCAAGAAGAGCAACTGTCCAGGTCCTAAAGATTCCAGGCCCCATCTGCAGGCCCCATCTGAATATCCCTCCTGCCTCAGGAGGCTGTCTCAGAAATGCTAAGAGGCTCAGAGAGCTCCCCTTGCTTAGCCAAGAAGGGCCTTTCGTGAGCCACCCATGACCGCCCAGCATGCTCTTACACATCAACCTCCCTGCAGTCACAGAGGAGAATCTATCAGCCAGACTAAAGCAAGGGGCACTGGCTCCCAAAGGATGCATCCCAAGGGAACTGCTCTGTGGCGAGACCGTGAAACTTGAAATACATGCACCATCTGTACTTTTAAATTTCAGGAAGTTTGGGTATGGAGGCACTAAGCAGATTATGAGCAAATACATAACATAAGCTCTCCGAGCTGGAAGAGGCTGTAATACCCCATTACCACTGTAAAACCATCATCCTACAGATAAGATGAAGTCAGAATCTCCTAACTGCCAGCCCAGTGCTCTTCCTATCACACCCTGCTCTTCAATCAACTAGGGAAATGATCTTTTGGAGCATATCAAAATCAAGCTACAACCCCACTGCAGGATAAAAATCTCATTTAACCATGTGTTGCAAAAAAAAAAAAAAAGATTAACATAAAAGATTAAGAAGCAAAACCTTTAGAGTAATTCCCTGCTGGAGAAGGGGTAGGGCAGGGTTGGCCATCTTTCTCCATACAAACACGATCTAATCTCCAGGGAAAATGTACATACAAAATTATATACAAAGATCATCTCTTTCTTTAAAAAAATACATCGCTTCCAAACTTGCACCTCCAGCAAAAAAACACAAAGCATAATGCCTTACTTTACTGACACAGAATGTTGAACTGACAAAAATAACAATCCTTTCTTCACAAGTTGAGGTTGAAAATATTTTCTAAATAAAGTATTTTCACCATGCTATAATTAATTTCCTCTATTACAATATATTAAACTTCAGAGCAAATCAAGTAGATTTTATTCCCCTATTGTAGTTTTCTTTAAAACTCTGATTTAATTCTTCAAAGACTGTAACAATAAAGTAATCTTTCACTCTGTTCATTTTCTCCAATTCCAGATCACAATTCCACAAATAACAAAAATATGCTTGCTTATACATATAAAAAGAGAAGAAGGCCATTTGTATAGGATGGAATATCTGCATGCATTTTTAAAACTTTTAAGATAAAACCTAAATCTTTGAACAAATTCATAGGTTATCAGAGAGGCCTATTATTAAGGATATTTCAGTCATAATTTGTGACAAAAGCTAGTACCAATTCTGCCATGAATTAGTTGTGCAATATTGGGCAAGTCATTTAACCTTTGGGCTTAAGCTAACATAACAAGCCAAAATAGTCAACTTCTAAGATATTTTCTAGGTTTCTGAACATCCTCCTCAGACATTAAGGATCATCTTCATTTCCTTTGAATCCTAAAAATTAAATATATCTTTAAATAATACAAACAAGCATTTTATAAGTTACATTATGCCCCAGAACTTACCAGAAAGCTGCCAGCAGTTTAGATAAATGAAAATTTCAGAACATTGTGGACTTTATCTGCATTAAATGTATCTCCCTGTCTCGTGGTCCAGCTTCTCTGAGCAAGCGTAAAAATGCACTTTCACATCTGGATGACTCTGTTGAAGAGTTTTCCCCAACTCTCCCCAGGCTTTGACTCCTTCCTTCCTCTTCCCAACCCTGCTGCCTCAGGACCCTGATACCCTGAAATCTGGCTCTATCTGCCACAATACTGAAAATGAAAACCTTTTCTATCAATTAGGTTTCAAACCAGCTACCATCCAAATATCTATATCTGTATCTAAATCTGTACATTTTGACCAGAGAAATCTAGATTTTTAACGTCTAGAGAATGTTCCACTGATAATATCTGAAAATTTAATGATTTTTTCATCTGAAGCCGAGTTCCTTACTGCCAAATAAGCAAGGAAGTTCCAGAACACTATTTATAACACAACTCATAACCTTAAGATAATTTTCTTTATGTACCAACTAGTGACTGTGCCATCCCCAGTGAGTTTATGAATAAAATAAGCACTAGGACTGAGAATCTGGCATTTTACTAGTAGAAATCCTAAAGAGTAGTTGCTTTTTGCCGGTTCATTCATTCATATACTGACTGAGCATCTCCTACAGGGTAGGCAATATTTATTCTCTGTGCTGGAAATCCAAAAACTGATACAAAGTCAGCCTTCATGGGGCTTGTGGTCTAAGGGAGGAGACACACAACAGGACACACAGACTATATGGACATAATAGAGACATGATATATACTACGTACTCATAAACAGTCAAATTAACACAGAGACATATGACATGGGAAATACATACAATGTGAGAGGGACTATGTGCTATTGAAAAGGAGGTGGCCAGAACAGCAGAGGAAGGGGATTCAGGCATGAATGGAGGGAAGGCGAACTGCAATCTTACGTGGGTCAGGGTAAGACTCACAGCAAGGGCAGCATCGGAGCACAGACTTCAAAGGGCTGAGAAGTGAGTCAAACTAAATTTTCCTTATAATTTTTACCTTGCACTGACCAAGCATGTAACAGAAATGCCTTATCAAAACAACGACATATGAGCAAATTTATGAACATCCCAGAAGAGTAAACAGAAGAGAACTGTGCATCAACTGCCTTCATTTTTGTAACTCAGTGTACTAAGTTGAAACTTACATCTTCAATTAGGCATGCTCATTATGCATTTTTTTCTTCCCTGTTAGTTTGAACAAAATTCTTAGTGCCTGATCCATTTTCCTTAAAAGTCCAGAACAATTTTCCAAGTATTCCTTGAAGCATGAAATAACAGTATTATTCAACCAGCAAGCCACTGAGACATCCCAACTATCACATGAGGACTTAAATCTCAGTATGAGAACCCACGAGGCACTGGAGCTTCATCCCACTGGGGAGAATCCTGTGCTTTCCCAGAGGGGTTGGTGGGGAAAGACCAGGCAAGCTGTGAAACCAGGAGGCCTCCCCCCACCAACCAGCTGTCTAACCTTGAGCAAATCTCTTCACTCTCTGGGATTGGATTTCCTCAACTATAGCATCAGGCCACTGGACCACATTAATTTTATAGTTTGAATAGTTATTTCCAAGCCCATTCCAAGGCTGGGTTCACTTCAGAAAAAAAGTTAATAACCATATCCAAAAAATTATAACACTGCTAATCCACCATCAGAGATCCATACACTTTAATTTGTTCTTCTGAGAACAGTAATGAATTTGTCTTAACTCATGCATCAAGTCTCAACTCTCCCTCTCAGATCAAAAAAGATTCACAAGGATGGGTCTGGACTAGTTCACCAAAGACAAAAGAACTTGCAAAAAAAGATAGTATTTTTGTCTTTGCTTTATTATCAACATACTCTTAAGTAGACTAATATGGAAATCCTAAACTAACACAAGCATGCACCTGCTGAGGGGTTTTAAATATTCTTCATGGACCACCAATCCCAATTTTTAAAAATGTGTTTTTAAAGAGTAGGCTTCCATAAAAGTTACTTGCGATCCATTAGTCTTCTTACTACTATATTATTTCAAATAGGTGCTATGATTAGCATCTTATTCAGAGAGCCCCAAGATCTACACTTCCCACCACCATTAACAGCTCCCTTCTGTGTAAAGCCCACCTTCTCGATGCAGATTTAAAAAGGAAGCAAATAAACGAACTGAGGATGGAAGAATTGTTTCCTGACTTCTTTGCCCTATGGTACAGGCAAAGTAAATTAGGTTCTGCCAACCAGGCGCAGCACACAGGACTCTGTTAGAACAGAGTCATGTTACTTGGGAAAAGAAGCAAGGTGGAAGGGTATGTGGCACCCACTTTGCTGGCAACATGCAGTGCTTCTGGCTCTGGCTCCCTGACTTGGAGCATCCCAACCCAGGCAGGGGCAGCAGCCCCTCAAAGGGCCAATCCCACAGTGCTGTACGGGCAACCATTCCCAGAAACTTGGCCTACAGGCTCTTTCTTCAGCCCTCCTGATGATTTGCTAAGCTACCTATCACCTCTAATAAATCCCCCTCTGTTT